CGTGCATCCTTTTCTCGTCTAGAACTCTTATGACTTTTAGCCATGCATTTGAGCATGAGTTGGAGCTTTGGTTATCATCCTTGGTTGAAGAGAAGTGTGCCTCTTACAATCTTACTGGAACCAGATCTGTTTGATAGGTTGTTGAATTGTGTCCATTGTTGTTCTTATGAGGACCATGGGTCTAGTCCTGTGGTTCATATTGTTCATGCTAAAGCATGTTTGTCATTCATGGATTTTAGGTGTGCTATTGAAATATATGCGAGAGACATGAGTTTTATTAGAAGTAACCAAATAGCCACCCTTTTGGAAGTTCATAGGCTAAGTTTTTATTTTTACCTAAAAATGCTCTAAATACTTGCCACATAGGGTGTTGTGTTCTAAAGAATATAGAGGTAAAAGTTATAACTTTGTCGGGTTACAAATTATATTTTAAGATTCTTATTTTGGAGTGAAAATAGATTTGCTAGAAATAACGTGTAAGTCAGAACTTCAAACCTCCATTTGTTGTACTAAAAAATATTGAATATTTGATTGGTGTAAAATGATAGTAAGAGTGTTATATTGAACAACCTTAAACATGTTCTTCTACGAAAAGATCATTGTCACACTTTTGGTGCATAATATTCTTAACATTCTCCATTACCATAAGCAAGACCAACTTCGCTTTTGTACAATTGCGTCCCCAAAATAGCTTGGATTGTATGAAGGCCATTGTTGCTTTTACTTGTGGCACCCTTCTTATCCACTTCACCTCCATTTTCTCTAAACCCTCATTCTCCTCCCTCAAAACAATTTTTGTAACTTTATAGCTGTGCAACTTATATTCAAAGTGCTTCTTTGTGCAATTTTGTCAAGAATCTCCAAGAACGAAGCCTTCTCGAGGTCACCAGCTCTCCACTTCGCTTGTCTAAGTCTTTCTAAGTTACCCGATTTCTTTGTGGAGAAGATGAGTTGAGTGAGGCCATTGAGGCTACTGAAGTATTAAAATGAGGATCGGATCTGCGACAAGGGTGGATTGAAAGAGTATTGAAAAGGTTGAATTGGATTTGGATTTGGGGCGATTGTTAATCTTTCAGTGATGTCTTGTTGGAAAGAGAAAATATTGCTCGTGGTTTGTTGAAGCAAGAGAGACTTTTATTTGAATAAGAGTAGAAAATTATCACTTATAAGCGCTTTGATGGGAAACTTCTACTTTTATTAGCAAGAAAGAAGAACAAGATCGTTGTGAGGATATAAGAATGAAGCAGAAAGGAAACGTCATCTGATTGTTAGTTTTTGGGTATAATAATACACTTTCAATCTAAAAATAATATGACAATTTAGACAATTTACCTTTTATCAAACTTCAACGTTTAAATTTATATTTTAACCCACCAATAATATAAATATGAAATCGATAGTTTGAATACTTAACTAGTAAGGAATGAAATTGAAATTTTAAAAGACCTTTTCTAAAGTCAAATATTCTTCCAACAAAACGATCATGACATACCCTACAAGCAAGATTTCTTGGCAACGTTGTCGAGCTTAGCTTTTGGGATAATCTTTAGATATTTTTTACTTGTACTAAATTGTCGTGGACCATAACAGAGATGACCAAGAGTCGATTCAGTAGGATTGAAACCTTGATAGGAAAGAAAAACAGAAAATGGTTCCAAATGGATTTCTTTAATAAGCATTGTCATTATCATGTTGACGTTCAGAATCTGAAAAGATAAAGATGACACATCAAGAAAGCATCTTTCGGCTATCATTGTTGACATTTACATTGGGACAAGTTTTTCATTGGCATCTCTATCAAAGTTGAGCAGGTGAGCCAACCAACCCCAATTCATTGACAGATTCTTGTTTTTTTGCTTACAAGCAATCCCTTCTCCATAATAGCTTGAAGAACTAAATATAACTATGCATAGATAAACCAGAGAATTTAAATTCTACTTTTGGAGAGGCATCCCTCCCACCAATGCTTGAAATGGCAGTGATAATGTTGCAGTAATATATACACGAATTGTAGCTGTGAGAGTAATCTCCATAAACTAGTTTGCGGCGGTATGAACTGCGGCCACTGTCGATACCATGGAATCGACCCCACAGACGTTGCGACCCCTGCAGATTTTGTAGTATCCATTCTCCCCCCATTTCGCTCCCCACGAGTTCTTAATGATCCAGTAAGGCTTCTCTTTCATTCGGATGGGAGCATAGCCAGCAGACCCATAACCAACCAACAAAACCCCATGATCCAAACGCTTTGAGCAAATGTAAGGGCAAGAAACGCCTCCTACATATGTCTGCATGTATACGGCGTTGATAGCAACTGCATTTGAGAGAATTTGAGCAGTCAGGAACCCTGATTGATTGAAGAAAATAATAGGATTCAAGAAAGCTTGGTTGAATGAAATTACCTGCAAGAGGGCCATTCTTCAAGAGATTGGCAGCAATTTGTTCTTCATCAAGGGACACAACACTAAAGTTGGCCACTGATGCTGCAATTTTGCTCTTGTCAAATTTGCAGGTTCCACGATCTGTACCAGTGTATGGGTAGTCTTTCTCTTGCATAAGTCCACCGGCTTTCAGTGTATACTCGAATGCACTGTTCATTAGCCCTCCATTGCAGCCAGAATCACAGGAATCTTTTTCTTCTGGATCACACTGGAAAAAGTATAGAAATGCTTTAAAACTTAATTATTTGTCAAGTACTTTCAGCCAATACTTGATGAACGCAAAGATTTATGAATTGTCTCATAGCATACAACAGGAATAATAAACAAATTTGTAGCATCTAATCGAGGGCAACCATGATTAACAAACGTGTAATTAGATCATTATCTACACGTCAAGCTGTAAATTTCACCAAAGAACAGAAAATCGAAGACAAGTGAAAATTAAAATTCAAACCTCGTGATCACAGTCTACAAGCTGTTGTTCGCTAAGGCTAACAAGTTTTCCAGTAGCAAGGAAGTTAGCGCCTTCAAGAGCACCGGTTGTACTGAAACTCCAGCACGATCCACACGAACCCTAAAAAATAAAAACAAGAACAATCACAAAAATCAAAACCTCAGTTTAATAAATAAAAGTCATATTTGTTCCTAAGAGAATTAATTGGAAGTTATTACTAATATAAGGAGTAACAGATACAGAGAAGCGAGTAAAAAATAGCTAACGTAAACGAAATAGCCGAAGATAGAAAAATATGGTCAAAGAAAAACACAAACCTGATTCTTGACTTCCGTGACAGCGCCGTGATCTCTCCAATCGAAATCGGTTGGGAGATCATCAGTAGGAAGAATAGGGGCCTTGTTAGCATCCGCAGGGAGACGAAGACGATCTCTAAGCCCTAGAAACGATCTCCTGAACTCCGATGGAGTCAAATCAGAAAACTGAGTGACGCCATGAGTAGCAGAGGGATCAAGAGCCTGGTGGCGTCGAGCTCGCCTCAGGTTAGCTTTAAAGATCCTGAACCGGTGATCATGCTCCTCGTTGGAGGCGTACGACTTCCCAAACCTTCGCTTAAAGATCGAAAAGTGGTGCTCGGCTCCGAGCAGCAGATCGTCGCCATTACTTCCTCTGTTGACTCCTCCGTCGTCGACAACCTGACGGATTATAAAATCTCCATCCGATTCTCCGGAGAGAACCTCGCTGCCAATCGCCGTGGCGACGACAAGAGAGAGAACGACGAGGAAAGAGAAACCCTTCACCATTTTCACCGCTGAGAATTGAAGGAGAAAAAATGGAGAAGAAGACCTGTGATTATGGGTAACAGAGCAGGCCATTTTATGCTGATGCATCGTGAGGAGAGTTATACTACTGTGTAGCTAGTTTCTTTGTAACCCAGTGTTAATCTTTTAATCGTGACCGTTCCTTATTAGTAGCGGTGGGTCCCACGAAAATATAAACGGTGCAGATTTGGGGCTCGTTTCTGGCGTTGTAGGAGATAACTGCCAGCCTTATCTGTGTTTTGCTTGAAGAAAGGGAAATGATAAAACCAATGAATTGATGACACGTGTTCGATTTTTATTCGATGTTCTAAAAGCTCGTATTTACGTTATTTTATTGGGTAACTTGATTCTGGTCGCCATGGTCCGGCCCATCGAGGGCTTGGTCTCTCTCGGGTTCTTTTGGGCTTTTTCGTAGAGCAAGGCCCAATGTTCATAAATACCTAATGGGCGTCTTCTTCGAACCGGCCCATTTGTATTCACAGTTAAATCAAAGGATTATTTCTTTCTTTAAAAAATAAAAATAAAATATATTATTTTTACTGACAATTATGTTATATTGTTATGCATGGCATGAATGAAATTTCTACGAGTATGTAAGATGATATCACGTGCATTAGTTTATTGAGCAATGGTTCTTAACGCGGGACCTCATGCATATTGCATGTCACATGAGTATGGACAATGCGTACACAATATTATATGCACTTCTTTGTTTTGTGTTAGTTTTTGGCAGCGTCCGTGCAGTAACCCATAGCCTAGGGGCACATATATGAGCTCACCTAGATAATTCATGCGTGTGTGTGAACCATGTTCAGAGAAGTATTATGCATCCAATTGTGTCCGGAAAGTAATGCCCAAAAAATAACAACAAAAAGTAGTCCCACTAGTTAGAGAAAGTCGTTGTTGCATGTGGTTGTATTTTCCGACTCGAACAGTGAGGTCACTTACTAAGTATTCTTAATTGTTCATCCTATGTCTATCGTTTTTTAAGTAAAGGTAAGAGGCTCGTATATAGACAACAGAACCCGCTAAGAAGTCCATGAAAAAGAGGAATCATGTTGGATAGTTCTCTGCATTTACGTCATAGTTCTATTGTCGAGTAGTTTAGTAGCATTTTTATCTTGGAGCCTCACTGAGAGGCGTTTATATCTATAGATATATATATTTTCCATTTAGACCGAGATTCTCAACCCAGTAAAAAGTAAAAAAGTAAAAAGTATTTACCCAGGTTGAATCAAACCAAGTTCTTTAGATATTTCTTGGTTGTTTTTGACTAACCAAATTTCACACTTTTATCCCTACGTTCTAAGAAAATTACGACTCTGGCCTGTCACCCGACTGAGGCAAGATCCAGGAGAAGACTGCAAAGCCCTCGTTCATCGTCATCTCCCTTCATTTCTACTCTATCCAATTCTCTCTCTAGAAATACTCCAAATCCATAAACCTCTTGCTGCTGCTGATCGTGGATGCCGTCGCGGGCCTTTGTCGATTTCTTACGTATTGATCAGATCTGAGGTAAAAATTTAAGGCGTTGTTGTTACATTCTGTAGTCGGAATCTATCTAGATCATTCCCAATTCGCGTGATTAGGTTTGTTTTGGTCGGAATCTGGCTCTGTTTGTTTACTGAGGAACTTGTTTAAATGTTACTTGAATGCTTAATCCTCGAAATTTCAGTTCTGGATGGTTCATTAGCTGGAAGGCATATGGACTGGCTCGTTGTTAATTGCTGAAGTGAACTTTTATGATGAATTGGTGTCATGGAAATTCATTTTAGGTTTTGATGCTATCCGATTCTGTGCAGAGTTTATCGTTTGAAGATGTTGACGAAGTTCGAGACCAAGAGTAATAGAGTCAAAGGACTGAGTTTCCATACTAAGAGGCCATGGATCCTTGCAAGTCTTCACAGCGGAGTGATCCAGCTATGGGACTATCGGATGGGCACACTTATTGATAGATTTGATGAGCATGAGGGGCCTGTTCGCGGCGTTCACTTTCACAAGTCTCAGCCTCTATTTGTTTCCGGAGGTTCCATATTCATCTTTCACTTTGCTTTACACAACTCTTTTCTTACAAAAAATTGCTTTAGGCTACTCCTAACTGAATGTTAGTGCTGTTGTGTATATGCCTATTTTGTTTCCTTGCCTTGTTTCTGAAAGTTTACCCCCACCCCCACCTCCACCCGCCTGGCGGATGTAATACCTCATGAATTAGAAGAGAACAATTAGTAAGTTTCAGCCATATAAATTATGAATTGGAGTGACGGCATGACAACAACAGTTCTCTTTCGTTTTTTAAAAAAATGGATAACTTATTATGTCAGATTCAAACTTTCCTTTCTAGGAGAGAGGACTCAATGATTTGCATCCATCAATTAACATAATGGTGCTTAAGTTTCTGAATTTGGCATGTTAAAGTGGCTTCATATTCTTCTTTCTTCAGGGGATGATTACAAGATTAAAGTATGGAACCATAAGACTCATAAGTGTCTGTTTACTCTTCTTGGACATCTTGATTACATCCGTACTGTGCAATTTCACCACGAGTGTCCGTGGATTGTGAGTGCTAGTGATGATCAGACTATTCGTTTATGGAACTGGCAATCACGCACTTGCATTTCTGTGTTGACTGGCCATAACCACTATGTTATGTGTGCTTCGTTCCATCCCAAGGAAGATCTTGTTGTGTCAGCTTCTCTTGATCAGACAGTGCGTGTATGGGACATTGGTGCATTAAGAAAGAAGACAGTATCCCCAGCTGATGATGTGCTTCGGTTGAGTCAGATGAATTCTGATCTCTTTGGTGGTGTTGATGCTGTTGTTAAATATGTTTTGGAAGGTCATGACCGAGGAGTTAATTGGGCAGCTTTCCATCCTACCTTGCCGTTAATTGTGTCTGGTGCCGATGATCGTCAAGTGAAATTGTGGCGAATGAATGGTACTATTCAAGATTCAAGATCATTTGCTTTATTTACATTGGTTTGTAATTGTGGCTAATACTTGTTGCACTTGGCAGGGCCCTAAATTGTCCTATCTCATGTTGGCAAGACTTGTTGGAAATGTTAATATTCTATCAGCTTTTTCTTCCCTAGTGTTGATTGATGTGGTTAGGTTGTTGGTTTTAACTTTAATTAAAAGCTACTACCAGATAGGATTTTCTTAATAAAATCATTAGGAGAGATGATAGTTTTCAGTTTCTTTTCAGCCAAGTGGCTGAATAAGGCTTAGATATTCTTTGCATATTTTAATGAACATGAGGACTTCAAATTTATGGATTGTTTGCGAACACATTACTCATTTCTTCTGATAGGTTCCCTCCGAAACACACCTACACACTCAGAAAAAGAGAGATGGAAATGAAATGCTAACTTAACTGCAATATCTGCTTCAATTGTTTTTGGCCTTTTATGGTTAATTGCTTATTTTAATTTTTCAGATACGAAGGCATGGGAAGTGGACACACTAAGGGGGCACATGAATAATGTTTCGTGTGTAATGTTCCATGCAAAACAAGACATTATTGTCTCCAATTCAGAGGATAAAAGTATTCGTATTTGGGATGCAACGAAGCGGACTGGACTTCAGACTTTCCGTCGCGAGCATGACCGGTTCTGGATACTTGCTGCTCATCCTGAGATGAATCTACTCGCAGCTGGTCATGACAGTGGCATGATTGTTTTTAAGTTGGAGAGGGAAAGGCCTGCATTTGCTATTAGTGGTGATTCTCTATTTTATATAAAGGACCGTTTTCTGCGCTTCTATGAGTTTTCAACTCAAAAAGACACCCAAGTAACCCCAATTCGAAGGCCTGGTTCCACTAGCTTGAATCAGAGCCCTAGGAGTCTCTCTTTTAGCCCCACAGAAAATGCTGTTCTTATTTGCTCGGATCTAGATGGGGGGTGCTATGAACTGTACACCATTCCTAGAGATAGCTTTGGTAGAGGTGATAACGTGCAAGATGCCAAGAGAGGAACTGGAGGCTCAGCAGTATTTGTGGCTCGGAATAGGTTTGCTGTGCTTGATAAAAGCAACAACCAAGTCTTATTGAAAAATCTTAGGAATGAAGTTGTTAAAAAGACTCCCCTACCCATAACCACAGATGCAATCTTTTATGCTGGAACTGGTAACTTATTGTGTAGGGCAGAGGACAAAGTAGTTATATACGATCTTCAGCAGAGAATTGTTCTTGGAGATCTGCAAACCCCTTTCGTGAAATATGTTATATGGTCCAATGACATGGAAAGTGTTGCCTTACTCAGTAAACATGCAATTATTATTGCTAATAAAAAGCTTGTACACCAGTGCACTCTTCACGAGACAATTCGTGTAAAGAGTGGAGGATGGGATGATAATGGCGTCTTTATTTATACAACTTTAAACCACATAAAATACTGCCTTCCCAATGGAGATAGTGGTATAATCAGAACCCTTGATGTTCCAATATATATTACAAAGGTTTCTGGCAACACACTCTTTTGCTTGGATAGGGATGGGATAAATCAGCGTTTCATTATTGATGCAACAGAATACATATTCAAACTCTCTCTGTTGAGGAAGAGATTTGACCATGTCATGAGCATGATAAGGAACTCACAGCTCTGTGGGCAAGCAATGATTGCATATTTGCAACAAAAGGGGTTTCCTGAAGTTGCACTTCACTTTGTGAAGGACGAGAGAACCAGGTTCAATTTGGCTCTTGAGAGTGGAAACATTCAGATTGCAGTTGCATCTGCTACAGCAATTGATGAGAAAGATCATTGGTATAGGCTGGGTGTGGAGGCTCTTCGCCAAGGCAATGCAGGCATTGTGGAATATGCCTACCAGAAGACAAAAAATTTTGATAGGTTATCGTTTCTTTATCTCATAACTGGTAACACAGCAAAACTGTCCAAGATGTTAAAGATTGCTGAAGTTAAGAATGACGTCATGGGTCAATTTCATAATGCTCTATATCTCGGTGATGTCCGGGAGCGTGTAAAGATCTTGGAGAGTGTTGGCCACTTACCTCTTGCTTATATCACCGCATCAACCCATGGTCTACATGATGTAGCTGAAAGGTTAGCTGCTGAATTGGGAGATAATGTTCCATCTTTACCTGAAGGAAAAGCAGCATCGCTGTTATTGCCCCCTACTCCTGTTATGTGTGCTGGTGACTGGCCACTTCTGAGAGTGATGAAAGGTATATTTGAAGGTGGGCTGGATAATGTGGGTGGTGGTCCTGCAGATGATGATGAGGAGGTTGCAGATGGTGATTGGGGGGAGGAGCTGGAAGTAGTTGATGGCGATGGCTTACAGAATGGGGATGTGACAGCAATTTTGGAGGATGGGGAAGGTGCAGAAGAAGATGAGGAAGAAGGGGGATGGGACCTTGAAGATTTGGAGCTCCCACCTGAAGCTGATACTCCAAAAGTATCAGTCAGTGCTCGTAGTTCGGTTTTTGTGGCCCCAACACCTGGCTTGCCTGCCAGCCAGGCTTGGATTCAGCGGTCATCCCTCGCTGCAGAACATGTTGCTGCTGGTAATTTTGATACTGCAATGCGGCTGCTTAACAGGCAACTAGGAATTAAAAACTTTGCTCCTTTGAGAACCATGTTTCTGGATCTTCATGCTGGAAGTCAAACCTACATTCGCGCTCTTTCATCTGTTCCCATACTAACATTGGCAGTAGAACGAGGATACAATGAATCTGGTAATGCAAATGCAAAAGGATCCCCTGCACTTATTTTCAGTTTCTCTCAGTTGGAAGAGAAGCTTAAAGCTGGTTATAAAGCCACAACATCTGGGAAGTTTGCTGAGGCTCTTCGTCTCTTTCTCGGCATTCTTCATACCATTCCTCTGATTGTTGTCGAGTCTAGGAGGGAAGTCGATGAGGTGAAGGAGTTGATTATTATCGTCAAAGAGTATGTTCTGGGTTCGCAAATAGAGCTTAAGAGGAGGGAACTTAAGGACAATCCCGCCCGTCAGATGGAGCTTGCAGCCTATTTTACTCACTGTAACCTTCAAATGCCACACTTGAGACTTGCTTTATTAAATGCTATGTCAGTCTGCTACAAGGCAAAGAACCTTGCCAGCGCCGCAAACTTTGCCCGGAGGCTGCTAGAAACCAATCCCCCAGTTGAGAACCAAGCAAAGACAGCCAGGCAAGTGATACAGGCTGCAGAGAGGAATATGAAAGATTCACATGAACTGAACTATGATTTTAGAAACCCTTTCGTGACCTGTGGAGCGACTTATGTGCCAATCTATCGAGGACAGAAGGACGTCTCGTGCCCATACTGTAGCTCCAGGTTTGTGCCAAGTCAGGAAGGGCAACTCTGTACCGTGTGTGATCTTGCTGTTGTTGGGGCCGATGCATCTGGTTTACATTGTTCTCCCACTCAAGTTCGATGATGATCGGACAGTCACAATCCGGTTGGATCATTTCTCGATCTCCTCGACGCATCCTTCCAACTAAGGAGCCAGACGATTATCTCATAGAGTCATTCAGACGTACTCGTGGAAGGTAAACATTGAAAAATACTGTGCTGTCTGCTACTTAAAATTTCTTCTACCTATTTTTGTTTCTTTAGTTGATTGTGATTCCCTGTAATAAAGTTTTCAGAATTTTGACGTAGATACATGCTAGGTGTACTGATAGGTAAGAATACTGGAGTCCCCTTTCGGATTAGATGATTGTTACAGGTCAGGGACACATTTTAAACGATAATGTATGCAAGGCCCTCGGGTCTTTTTCGATATTCTATGAAAAGCTTGTGTTGTTTTACTCGGTGACTTGGTGTAAAAGATTTAGATTATGGTTGATTCTGGAAGGGAATGATTCGGTTTTAGCGACTCGGTTTCGAGTTTTACTAACATAGTAAGGCAATAGTGTCAAAGATGTGTTTGATGAGTAGCATCTATTTGGAAGGTCCATGTCCAGTTCTTTTTGCTCTTCCTTAGTTCCAGACTGGTTTCTTAATTGTGTAAGTGATGTAATTTAGATATTATATATCACTTGTGATTAATATACCAAATTTTAGAGTAGCCCAGTCACGTAGTTATTGTAGATTTTAGTTTTTATATTTTTGTAATATTTAGTTTTTGTTAAGCCAGAGGTTTATTATGTGTTACCTGTCCATTTGAGTACAGATGGAAGCTACATATGTGTATCGACAATGTATTATATCAATAGTATATCAACATTTCAAGGTAAAATATATCCGTGCATGATTTCAAGGTAAAATATATCCGTGCATGTGATATGGTATCACTATGGTATCACTCCAGGAAAAGTAAGATTCTTATTACTTTTTTTACTTAATATCTCAATGTAATAATATTTATTTAAGATTTGAATTACTCCATAAGCTGCTTAAGTGTGTATTGCTAATAAACTTTTTTTTTTTTTTTTTTGCCGCATTTTTCTTACCGAGTATGATTTTATATAGCCTAAAAAAATGAAAATTATTGACCTTGCAGCTACCTTTTTAGTAAATAAAGTCCTTCATCTATTGGTGATTTCTCTTCGTTCGTCTCTCTTTTTTGAAGTGCGGTCTCGATTACTTTAATTCATTAGATTTAGTAGTAGGTTTTGAAATTATAAATAATATCTCGAATAACAAGAAAAGTCTCGCACGAGAGGAATGAAATTGAGGAACCCGACTCAACATCGAAGTGGTCTCATGCACAACCATCATCTTGTTGGGTCTGGGTTGCCTACGGTTACACTAACTAGCGTCATTGTTAAGGATAGTCCGAAGCTTTTAGCACTTGGTGCCAGCGTGCCAAGGAGAAGTGGTTGCTTCGCTTCCTTAAGTATGATGAAGCCAAATGTTTTTGGATCCCTACTTCATATACCTCTCCACCAATAGATAAAGACAAATAGGAATAACCGAATTAAGTGGTGGTTGTTTTTTCTTGGCTTATCGAACCAACATATAGCCATTCCTCCTTTGATGATTCTCAGTGGAGAAAGCCTTTTGACAACCTGACTTTTTCGAAGGGTCGGCAGGACATGAGAGCCTCAACTCATGCATCGATCTATCGAAAGAACCGTGGACTCCAGATGATGGGGTTTCTTTTCACAAGAGAGGGTTCCCTTCTATTTCAAAGTGGGGAAGGTAAAATAAAGGCTTCGACCCAATTAGGAAAAGAGGATAAGTTCAGACAACATAATTGTGAACCCGAGTTGTAGAGGTGAATTAATGAAATATAGTAATTACAAATTATCATCCGCCCAAAATTTATAACCATAAAAAAATCTTCATTTAATTTCATGTTCCAAAATTGAGATACTATGGTTTATATAAGCATAACTAATATATCAACACGAGTTCGTATTCGTATTAATAGTACATCAATACTATCACCTTATATATTACCGTGTTTTTTTTTGGGGGTAGTTTGGACTTTTCACCCTTAGATTTATTTTATTTTATTTATTTATTTATTATTATTATTATTTTTTTTTTGTCATTCTTACACCGCCCCCTCCAAAGTTTATTGTTCTTCAATAGTTAGTTAAAAAAAAAAAATAGAAAAAAGAAGAAAAATAGAAAAACGAAACAAAATTATTACGAGTCAAACCTGTGACCCAATAACGCCATTGACGACGATTTCATTTCATGAGTGGCGGTTGCCGTTGCCGTTGCCGTTGCCAGAATAAACCGACGGAGCTCCGGTCACTCTGTCAAATGAGATTCGGTCAACATATATAAATAATTCAGTATTATTCGGGTCTGGTCTGGATCTGCCACCCATCAGCCGTCCGGTCATCGGGGGAATTGACGAACTAAGCTGATTGATCTTCGATGGCGGACTCGTAGAAAAGCTTCGTGACAATGGCGGAGCAAAGGACCGAGGATGATAGCTCAACGAAGGAAGTCGGAGAGGTGGAGAAGGAAAAACAGAAGAAGAATATGGATCGGGAACTTCTCAGCTGCTTGCTCCAACCTACAAGTATTGGTGTTGATCCGGACTATATTGGCATGCGTCGTCTCTTGCTCCATCGGAAGGCTGAAGCCGCGGTTCTTCGTCGGAAAGTAAGCATTCCTCTGCAGCTTTATTTTTTATTTTTGGATTTTTTTCTGCATTTTTTTCCCTATTTCATAAGGTTTTGAGTTAAATTTGTGATTTTTTTTTCCGTTTAATTGGGGAACTCGGATGTTACGGAGCATAATTTAAGTAGATTTGGTATGATGGTTTTGTGATTCCTTTTTCCCCCGGTAGTCGCGCTTGGATCGAATGAGAGCAGTGCTACATCAGTTGATAATCCTGATCTTGGTTCTGATTTTAGCTTGATGATCTGATAAATCTTCATTTCAAGTAACCTAGATCTTTTGAATGTGTTGCCTGATTCAGAAAAAACAGCACTTAGCTTAAGTTGAATTCCTCCATATTGAGGATTGGAGACCAGATGCCATATAGCAACTCTTTTTGACATGTATAATTGAGCTTCGTAAAACTCCTTTCATCTAATTCCTCCAATCATGGACGCTTCAATATGTTTGAAGCGTCAATGACTGTATTTTTTTCTTCTAGTAGTTCTAGGTTCCAACGATTTTCATTATGTCCATCAAAGGGACAAATTATAAGGGTTCGTCCAATCAGTCCAGGAGAGGCTCCAGCACTGGTAGGTAAGGGCGAAGTCATCATAAGTGGTTGACTGGGACATTTTTTGAAGGAAAATTCATTGTTTTTCGCTTTAGGGTTTCTGTTTGGAAAGCAATTTTGTTAAATTGTTGCGTTCATTCTTGTCAGATGCACATAGTCAATTCACTTCATGAATTTTTGATGGTTCAATTTGTTTATGCATCTTTTCCTGAGAATAACGTCAGGCTTCTTCTTCTATTGGTGTTTGCCAAAGGACTGGAAGTGCAATGGAAAAGGTTATGTGGCATTTCGCAATTACATACGCCGGCCAAGGAATTGGGAAGGCTCGCGTATACCAAGTCTTCAAAGCACCCCCGGAAGCAGGTTGCTAAAATTTTACTTGATGACTTAAAATATCCAATTCATAACCTGATACATCCTTCTCATGGCTTCCCTTTACTAATTTCAATTTGTTCTTTTATCTCAGTTGCAATAAATTATTATGAACTTCAATGATGAAACCTCCTATTTAATGAGTTACTTTTAAAGTTATATTCCGCATAATTCTGACATCAGGATAATTTACTGATTCATGCATCAGTGGAAGATGGATTCTTCCTCCAAGTTCGATCTCTGCCTTGCATGAGGTGGATAGCTGGAGTTCTATCAAGGTATATCCAATCTTGATTTCTTTTCTAGCAAACTATGCTTTCATTGAGAGAGAGAGAGAGAGAGAGAGAGAGAAAAAAAAAAAGAAAAAAAAAGACAAAAGATAGACAAAAGAAACAAATAAAGCCCCAACAAGGAGCTTAGGGTGCAAGGAATTGTAACCTTATATGAGATGAAAACTATCCAAAAGCTGAATTGTCTTGTTATTTGAAGTTGTATGCATAGCTCATAGCATGGTAGTAACTGCTTTACTGCTCTTTGAGAGACGAGACTGCCTCTCCCACAATTTCAACTTAAAGGATATCCTTCTCTGAATTGGGATCTCCTTACACGTCTTCAATGTTTGTTTTTCTACTCAGACTTTGTATCCCCTAAATTCAGTTCTCTCGTCTTTGAGCTTGATCTGTCAGGTATTTTATCGTGTAAGCCTTTCTTTGCCTGCTTGTTTGTTCAGCCTAATTCTTCTGACCTCTCCGCCAGTCTCTGGAAGGGTAAATTTCCTAAGAAGATTAGTTTCTTCTCATGGCCGGTTGCTTAGAAGAGAATTTCATACTTCAAATTTTATCTAGGGATCTTAACTTTTTTCTTTATGCTTTTAGTGGTGCATTTTGTGTAAGAGAACGTTAAAAGACTTTGGTTTATATTTTATGGATGTCTTTTACTGAAAACTTTTGGGGTAGTTTTTGTAAGACTTTCCATTTAGTTTGGCTCCTAGTAGGAATTGCTTCTCCACCCTTTTTCGCATTTGAGGACATTTTTTAATTAATATCCAAGAATTTTGAGGTCAACTTATGGAGACCTCAATTAATCTTATGGAATAACTACCTAATTCCACAATATCTAGTTAGAAGACCCATAAGATTTCAGCATCTTATGTAGGTAGTTTGACTCTCTTTTATCGTTTCTAACCAAGTGATCTGTCATGGGAGAAAAGATTACTGCACCATTCAATTGATCAATTAGACCGGATAAGCGAGGGATAGGAATCTATACTTTACCTTGATTTTGTTAGTGGCTCAGTTGTCTATGCCCATTTGGCAAGTGCCATGTTTCTTTGGAGTCAAGAGTGCAGGGACTGCACAAGGACTAACACTTAGTTTAATGCGCCCCTTATCCAGAAGTTCTTGATCTTGATCTTAAAGAATCTTATATTCTTTTATACATCCGGCAATGTGGCAAGTTTAGTAAAGATGAACTTGGAAAGAAATCATTTGGTGCCAAGTCTACTTCTGGGATAATTCTTCGGCTGAAGTCCATCCTTTAAAGGTCTCCTTCGCCTTGATATTTAGGACTTCAGAGCCAAAAATTTTGTAGTTATGGAGGTGTGGAACAATTGTAATTTTGCATGAGATCTTAATCTCAGGAGAAACCACTTTGATTGGGAGATGTATGAGTGGGCCACACTTACCTTCTTGATGGGGTTAGATTGAGTCAGCTAAAAGGCAGTCTGCTATGGAAACTATAGAGTTCTGGCATATTTTCTGTTGATTCTGCTGCGTAAGCCCTTCATGGGGATAATAGACG